ATTTTTAAAACTGTTTTTTCACAGAACGCGTTTTTTGTTGTTTTGGTTATACCGTTTACATAATATCTTCACTAATACTTTATAAAACCTCTTGAAGTTTTCCACAAATATTCTTCACTAATATAGCTACAAAATGACCCTCGTTGAAGAGTCTCGCTTATTCAGATTTGTACTTATGAAGTTTTGAGTAGGCAAGTAAAACTGTGAAACTCATCAATTCTTATGAAAATGACTATATTTTGCAAATTTTGATAGTTTGAACGTGAAAGTTGCACAGATTGTAGTTTAGATTGTTATAAAACAAATATACAAATCTAAAAGTTTAACAATTACCCTGTGATAAATAATCGTGTGAACAGTTTAGCCTCTTTTTGGGACCAAAACCAGCTTTTTTATTAGCATTGAAAAAAAAAAATTTTTCATTTCATTTTGTCTTCATTCGACCTATATTTGTAATTTATGTTAACTATATTTGTAATTAATGTGTTTTAAGAAAAAAGTTGTCTAATTGAATAGAAGTACCTTATGGGGTAAAGCTTCTCAAAAAATTATTTTCTAAAGTGAAGCATTAACAAAGTCATTACATGTTCCAAATAAAAGTACCCTAAATCTTAATATCCTAAAAAATAGAATTTCGTTGCCATGGCAACATGGTAACTTAGGAAAAATGTCAAATAAGTTTGCAAAGATTGCAGTCAATTAAAATGATATTTTTATGCTGATTTTTTTTCAACTTATAGTAGAAAAATAAATCTTTACAAAAAGCAGACAGTTTTTTCTGACAACTTCTCTTTCAGTTGGCCTATTTAATTTCGGCCAACTGAAAGAGACTTTTCATTTTAAGAGCAAAAATGATAAAACGTTTCTTAAATTTCTTAAGTTTAAAAACGTTTTTAAAAAGTCGTCTGTTTGTTGCATAGACCTTTATAAGAAGTATACTTCTTGATAATTTCATTTAAATTGGTTGAGTAATTTTTAAGGTACTTCTGCCGGGAAATAAAAGCACGCACTCTGAGAAAAATGGCAAATAAGTTAAAATCGTGTAAAAAGAGTACATTGATAATATTTTTTGTTCATGAACTCCAGCCCCATACATATTTCCTTATTTCTGTTCAAATTTGTCAGATTTATTATGTTTGCGGCTTCTTAAAATCTTTCTTTGTTACTTTATAGTGTCTTTATTTTTATATTCCGACATGTTAACTCTTCTCTGATTCAGTTAATTGCAACCAGAAATGGTAAGTTGTTTTGATACCATGTTAAGTTTTTCAAATATTAGGATATTTTGTTTTTAATCCTATTTAAAAGGGTCCAATAGCATCATAGAGTCCAAATTTCAGCTGCGTAACAGCTGAAATTTGGACTCTAGCAGCTTTTTTGAACAAAACTTTTATGTCGTGTTCCATCAGCAGAAACTCCAGTATCTACTATCGCATTAAAATATTTTCCATGAGTTCTTGAACAGCTTCATGCATAGTTTCATAAGAAAACGTTTGTGCTGCGATTTTCAATTTCTGAATAACAACATTGTAGCTTTTATTACATAATTCCTTTGGGATAATCATAAGGGTGGTAACCAATTTAGACTATCCTGGCCTTGATCAAGTGTTCTCACCAATCTTGGCTTTGAGCTATTGTTCTCAAGTGGAAAAAACTAATCTTTTATTATTATTATACTCTGATATATTTTTTTGATGTTTTTTTGAGTATAATTTAAAACCACAAACGCAACTTGAAGATAAATTTGATGCAAATCCTATGCAAGACTTTTTATCCCCGTTTAACGAGTACCGAGATGGTCGCAAACATTTTAAACACCCAAGTTTATCAAAAATAGAAGCGAGAATTTCTAATTAATAAATCTGTAGCTATTAACACATTTTGAGTTTCTACTCGGTACCATTATTAGCTTCAATTTTTTTTTAATGCACTTTAAATTCACTTTCAATTTCACTTTCAAGATTTACATTGGACGGGTCTACCATTTTTACAGCATTACTTTTAGCATCATTTCCACTAATATTTACACATTTTTCTTGGTTTTTCAAACCATTAAAAGTACATGTATACTTTCGAAAATGTTTAGTTGAAAATTTACTTAATTTAACTATTATACTCTGTCTTAGGTTTGTCCATTTTTCTTTCAAATCAAAAAAAAACAAAAAAAAAAAACCCAGCGAAAAAATTAGACTAAATGTTTTATATTGACAATTTTTTCGTAATTATGGGCTAGGATTGAATTGTAACTATAGTTACAATTCAATCCTATAATTCAATTTTACCCAGTCCCTATAGGGACTGGGTAAAATTGAATATATCGTTAGGTGCTCACACGGGAGAGGACGTTTATTAATTTCCGGATTTTTTTCGACCCATCCCAAGCTTTTTAAAACAATATGTATAAGATTTTGTGTAAGAGAAATGATGGTTTAAAAAACTCTCCAATTATCGTTTTAAACATATAAACGCAACAATGTAAAGCGTTGCCCTAATCCCTAAATAATTTATTCTTTGGAAAAATTGTTAAAGTCATTGTCAAAATCATTGCTAAAATACAATATAAAGAAAGTTTATTGTTTGAATCATTTTATTTTGGTTCAAGATGTATAAATAAACCTTTGTCAAATAACAGAAATTTTTGTCTTTACACAAAGTTAGTTCTTAGTGAAGCCCTATGGTTTTTTAATTAAAAAAAAATTTAGATCCTAGTAGGGGTGTGGAGTTGTAAAAAAAAAGTACGACTCCGACTCCGACTCCACTACAAATGTGGCAACTCCGATTCCACGACTCCGACTTCACAGCTTTGGATCCTATTACTCATCTTATTTAAGAATCTTTTATTCGAAAACGTTTATTTGGAGCATCTTCGATGATTAAACTTTTAGTTGGAGCATCTTTTATGAGAGAATCTTTAATTTATGAGAAAATCATTAGTTGGTGGTGTAGTTTATTCTGCTTATGTTATAGTTAGAGCTTTTAAATATTTTGCAACAAGTTATTTCACTTACTAAAAATTATGCTGTGATTATCAGTTGTCATGTTTTCAAATCTTCACAATTTTAAGAGGATTTTGTTGTTTTATACCCTGTACTGTAAGAAATAAAGTAGATTTAATAGTTGTTTTACTACCATTTTTGTTAAACTAGAAAGAAAAATAAAGATGAGGCTAATTCTATTTCCCCCACTGTATATTGATCCATCAAATCGTTATGAGCATGTTAAGTCAGTTATTATTTTATTTAGCTCACTTCATGTAAACTTTGTAAAAAACTAAAGAATCTATAGTTTTCAAGGGTACAACAACAACTACAACTTCTTTAAACAGGGGGTTAAAATACTAATCCTTTGAAAAAGAAAAAAATAGGCTTTTTTCCTCAATATTAATTTTTTACATTTTGATATGCGATCTCACAAACCAAAAATTGAGCATTTATAAAAAGACGTTAAACTTTCCTTATTAAATATGTAAAAAAAATAACAACAACTGTATACTTTAAGTCTGAAAATTGTATGTAACAACTTTCATTATATTATTATTATATTAACTATTCAACTTTAACCCGTTTTAAAAGATTCCAACCTTTTTGTTTTCAGACATCAATAATGCTTTTAATGGATTTTTAAAAACATATAACCAACAATGTATTAAACACCTCTAAGTTTCTAATAAAATAAGAAACGCCTATTATATCTACGTTAAAAAATATAAAAATCTTTTTTTTTTTTTATTTTCTCTTGTTTATTACGTTTCATTTCATTTGCTAAAGTAAAAATGTTATGGTTATTATTGTAAGAGCATATTGGACAAAGCGATTTGATTTTTAATACAGTGTTCTTTAAAAAAAATAATTTTTCGTATAAAGAGGATTGTTCGACCAATTTATTAGTAAAAATGTTACACTCATGGTATGTGCGTTATAGAAATACTAAAAATGGTATTTCTATAACGCAAAGTAATTTACATTTGTTCAGCCTTTACAACTACGCATAAGGGAGAGTGGGGCTAGTTAAGAGCAAATTGGGCACTTTATCGCCTATATATATATATATATATATATATATATATATATATATATATATATATATATATATATATATATATATATATATATATATACATCACCTAGTATATATATATATATATATATATATATATATATATATATATATATATACATCACCTAGTATATATATATATATATATATATATAATATATATATATATATATATATACATACATATATGTATATATATATATATATATATATATATATATATATATATATATATATATATATATATATATGTATATATATATATATATATATATATATATATATATATATATATATACATACATATATGTATATATATATATATATATATATATATATGTATATATATATATATATGTATATATATATATGTATATATATATATATATATATATATATATATATATATATATATATATATATATATATATATATATATATGTAAAAGCATTGGTTTGTTTATAGCGCAACTTGTCCCGCATGGCATGGTAAACCTTTAGCAATATCCTCTTAAACAAATCTGAAAAGTCTGCTGGGATTAGTTTATAAAATTCTTACAAGGTTAAACTACTTACTAATAATAATATATAATAACATAAAATATATTATAATATAACAATAATAATCTAATAGTAAAAAAATGATGTTTAAATCTGACACATTGTTTAAGAGAACTAAAATGCGATACAAAATACCCAACTAACCTAACAACTAACAATTCGATAAAACTAAAATGCGGTACCTAACTAACCTCGCCTTACCCTCTCAACTCCACGGCTATTGCATTGTGTTTTAAACGTCTAAAACTGAAACGATAACAAACCGAGCTTTATACCTGAATAGAGTTTGACGTTGACACAAGACGTAATTATTAATTCTTCTTTTTTAATTTTAAAAATGGTGTAGGGGAGTGGGCTGAAAATAAAACATTTGAAGGCTTGATATATTTAGAAATAGTCTTTATTTGAAACATATACAAACATTTGATTTGTAACATTTTCCAAACGCAACGTATTTTTTGACACTAAAAAAATCGGTTAACATCAAATGCAAATAATTAATTTAAAATTAAATGGAAATAACGAAAAAAAATACCCATAATATTTATCTCTTACTAAAATCTTTAAAAAGTAACTCCTTTCTAGAATACTCAAATTGACTAGGACAACCCAGTAAGCACAGATCGTTTTTAAAACGTTTAATAAACGTTAAAAAACGTTTTCATAGGTTTTTTAAACGTTTTAAAAACGTTCTGTGCTTACTGGGAAGTGCTTGCACTTGTTCTAGTCAAGTACTTGCACTCTCCTCATTCCCAACATATACTTACTTCCCTCAGACATGAATTTTTCCTAAACATGCATCCGGTTAAATTTCTGACGGATAAACGAATAAAACTAGACATCGCTTCATACTGAAATGTTTGAATGAAAAAACAGATTTTATCAACTTCATAAATAGATTATTTGTCTAATTGTCTAAAAAAAAAGTTCATTCATTAAAGTTTATGCAATTAAACTAATATATTCTTCAGGTTACGTCACTAATGTTACGTCAAACAAAGTACGTGTTTTACCACTAGTCTACAACCCCATTACATTTTCAAGTGATTTTTCTATGACTTTAAAGAATTTTTTTATTGTAACCTTCATAAAAAAAGAAAATAAAACTATAGAAGAAACAATCTTTGTAAAAATAAAACTTAAAATAATTTTCATTTCATTGACCAACCTTATATTGTGTAAGCTTTAATGGTCCAATTTTTCAAAAAGGTTCAAGCGGGTTCAAGAGTAAAAATAAAAAGGTTCGTTCCTTTTATTTATTTATTTTTTAAATATATTTGTTACTTTCTTGGAGATTAAATTGTTTAGTTTACACTACTATTTTTATTTGGTTGATTGTATACTCAAAGTTTAGAACCATTATTATTTTAGTTACATTGGTGACCAATAATAAAAAAATACAAGTACTAAAAAAAGAAAATATTTCTGAGAATGAATGTGATTTTACATAGAAACACGTACTAATATGTTTATATATAAAAAACACATTTAAAGCTTTATAGGAACCTCAAAAGATTTGAATATATTGTTTTTATTATATATGAGTATAATATGAACCTGTTCACATTGGTATAAAATAACCATTTTTTTTCCAACTTTTTTTAAAGTTATTTAGAGATAGATTGACCATAACCCGAAGCTTTACTCTTAATTTTTAATTCAACTTTAAAGTTTGCTGACAGGTTATATGTTTTCACATATAAATTTTTTCGTTTAAAAGTTTATTAACGCTGATTTACCACAGTAAATTTTACCATCCATATTAAACAAATATTTGAAATCAAAAACCTGACAACAAATTTTTACCTATTATAGGATTAAACCAATTTAAAAATAAAAAGTTATAGAGCATCATAATGGCTAAAGTATGATTGTAATAAATATGATGCTACAAAAATTCCCGGTAAAGAAACTTGTAATTCGAATTAATGTATTTACTACTTTGATAAACTCATTACGAGCATGCAATTTAAACAGCAGTGAACGCATGAGAGTTAAAGTTGTGGAGTTTAATGCTTGCTAATATAATTTTAAACCTTACTTTATTAAAAAAAGAAATTGAATTTTTAGACTTAGTTAACAATATTATTTTAAAAGCAAACACTAGGTAGTGATGAAACTAAATGACTTTTAAAGATAATAAATGTAATAAATTTTTCAATTTAATAAATTTATTAATAAGAATATACAAAACTATGTTTCTTAAAACGCCAAATAAAGTGTAATCACAATACGGCTTAACGCGTCATCAACTCAATTGTTCGTAGTAGTTTTTTTAATAAATAAGTAATCAATTAGTTTTAGACCTTGGTATTTTGTAACAGCTTTTCCTTATTAATTGGCTTTTTATAAATTATAGTTAATCAATTATAGTGATTCTTATCCCTCGTCGACAAAGGTTTTAAAAGATTATTTTGTGCGTGAAAGAAGTTCGTAAAAGCGAGTAAAAGCAATAAAACTTGTAATATTGCTTTTTGTATTTTTTGTATTTTAGTAAATATAAAATTTTTATGTATAAAAAAGGAACAATTATAAACAAACAAGAATGGAATACAGCTAAATTAATAGCATTTATCGTTTAATTTAAAGTTATTAAATTTGCAATTTGTGGTTTTAAATAATATCGCATAAATTGGTAAGCTTGTCAGATAAGCAAAAAAATCGAAAACACGCTGACGTTAAATTTAGGTAATCTATTTTCTCTTAAATAAGGTATCCAAGGAAATTGAAAACAAATTAGGTGAACAAAAATAAAAACATAAAGTGTATAAGCTAAGTTAACAGTCGAATTAAGTCGAATTCTTCAAAGTTTCTTTTAAATCTTTTGTCCCAAAGGCCTTTTCAAAAAAAGATTATAATTAATTTACCAGTCTTCAATACCACATAATAGATTTGTATACCAGTTTAAATGTATTATAATTATCTTTTTTTTATATTTGTTTCCAGATTCGCTCAGTCCTAAACATATGTTACTCATGAAAAGCATTGTTTATAAACAATCAAATTCAAAAGCTCAACACATTGTGAATTGTCTCCAGGCCTCGTTTTTTCTTTATAAACGGCTTAGGAATTTGCAATATTTGTTGTTGACTTTAATAATAAAGCCCGCTAATAATTTTTATAAGATTTTAATAACGTTTCAGTTAAGTAGTTTTTGTTTGGAATGGTTTCAAAACAATTACATTTTTAAAAATAACTATATTTCTAATATATATATATATATATATATATATATATATATATATATATATATATATATATATATATATATATATATATATATATATATATATATATATATATAAATATATAAATATATATATATATATATATATATATATATATATATATATATATATATATATATATATATATATATATATATATATATATATATTATTACTTATTTATGCATTATTTTTATTTTTAGAATTTTTTTAAAAAATTAGCTAGAAATGACATTGGCCGAAGGTTTCAATATCGCAAAAGAAAAACGTCACGAAGATACTCGTCGCAACCTCCTAAGCAGATTTGTGCAAGCAATGCGAGAAGACTTATCTGAATGGATAAATAGCTTATCATACAATGTTGAACTTACTCCAGATAACTTTTTACCAGGTCTTGATAATGGTGTAATACTATGCCAACAAGCAAGACTGATCCAGAGGTTTGCAGAAGAGTATGCTGTTTTAAACCCAAATGAAAATTTAAAAATTCCTAGCAAGCCAGTTCGTTATACAGAAAAAGGAGCTTTTTCTGGATCTTTTGTTGCTCGCGATAATGTGGCAAATTATATTGCGTGGTGTAAAGAATTAGGAATTCAAGATGTAATTATTTTTGAAAGTGACGACTTGGTTCTCCATAAAAATGAAAAATCAGTCATTCTTTCATTAATGGATGTCGCAAGAAAAGCATACAAATTTGGCGTTAGACCACCAGAAATTGTTCGGTTTGAACAGGAAATAGACGAAGAAATTGAAAGAGATGAAGAATGCGTAAAATCCGGAAAAATACAACCAAAACCACGTGACTTAGAAGAAGATAACAATTTAGATGTTTTGGTAAGAAAATATATATAAATAATTTATATATATATATATATATATATATATATATATATATATATATATATATATATATATATATACATACAAATATATATATATATATATATATATATATATATATATATATATATATATATATATATATATATATATATATATACATATATATATATATATATATATATATATATATATATATATATATATATATATATATATATACATACAGATTTTTTTTAATAGCGATTTTATTACGATATGACGGTAGCTACAATAACCTGTGAGTCTTTAGCTTATTAAGCTTGGTGTCTTCGTAGCCAAATCGCTGTCTTTATTTTTACAAATATTGATAGCTTTTCGCTAACTTAAAAAAGCTAGCGATCCTCATCGCCAAATCGCTGTCTTTATCGTAACGATTATAGCTAGCTATTCGCTAACCGATTTACCACCGGGATATACATATATATATATATATATATATATATATATATATATATATATATATATATATATATATATATATATATATATATATATATATATTATTTATATATATATATTTAAATATGTATCCTAAAAAGAAAATTGGCAAAATTTTCAAGAAAACAAATTTTAGCGCTAAATATCTTCAAAAAAACTTTTTCTTATTTTCCTAGGCAGATTTTAAATTTTGTTGCTTTTGGGGGAGGGGGGATAGTCGTGAATTGATTGCATTTTATTATATCAGTACACCTTTATAGCAATATTGTTATAAATCCATTGTTTCTCTATTTATCAGAGTTTTTTTATATGATTTTCTTTTTTGTTCAGATCCGTAAAATAGTAAATCAATGTATATGCGAAGACAGATTTCCAATCAAGAAATTATCCGAAGGAAAGTATAAAATTGGAAAAACTCATACTTTAATATTTGTTAGAGTAAGTTATGTTTATTGTTTATAAAAGTTCATCTTTTCATTGCTAGTTCCTAGTCTTTCAGGCTACAATAGCAAAGACTAAATTTTTTTGCATCTCTGATTTGTAAAAAAAGAGATTAAACATAATCTTTATACTAAACCATTTTACAAACCAAAAATCTAAGCGGTGGGTACTCAAGCTTTCTGGTACTGCATTATAACGATTTTCTTTTTATATGTTTTTAATAAATTGTACCATTAATTTGCTATTTCATGAACCAAATTTTTTATTTTGTGATGTCATACTTATAAAAAAAATATTTATCTTAAAAAAAAAAGATTTGTTCCGTGTAGTGAGATCTTGGCGTGACAAGTAGCGTAGCAATAAATTATTAATTAATTAAAGGAGACAGTGGCGTAGCAATAAATTGGAACAGTATTCTTTTGGCGCTTGATTTTATAAAGATAAATAAAAATTTAAAATTGAAAAAGTTATTAAAATAAAGCATTTATTTAAGATAAGCTGCGGAAGGAAAATATTAAAATAAGGATTAAACTAGTAACACAAAGTAAATGAGTTTTTTTTATCTCGCTTGAAAGGGGTTTGGCTTGAAAAGGGAAAGACTTGAAAGCAACCCTTTAGCTCCTTGTCGATAGACGATGAGCTGTAGCAGCAATTCGGTAATTAATTTTAAAGCTAGTGCTGGCAAGAATGTTTGTTCATACGATGTTTAAATTCATTTAGGTTACGAGTGTCAATTGCAGTTTGTGGGAGTAAATTCAATCGGTTGACTACTCTGTTAAGAAAGTAACTAAGCCTAGTAGAGATAGCTTGCATGTTGGTGTTGAGATCTGAAGCACTAAAGAACTCTTTGAAGATAAGTTGAGAGTGTCCTCGAGTTATTTGGGCAGATGGATTGCCAATTTGTGGATTAAGCCAATAAACATTTTCTAAGTTATTAATAAACTTAAAGTTGTAGTTTAAATCACCTCGAATGCGTCTTTTATTTCATGAGGTGAAGTGAAGAAATGATAATCTGGCATCACTGGATAACGTTCTTAGGACGGAATTGCTTTGGTGGCGCGGTTTGGGACTTTTTCAAGTTTTTTGACGTTGCGTTCAGAAAGAAAATTCCATACAGGAGCATCACATTCGAGGTGAGGTCTGACAAGGGGTGTGTAAAGGCTCTTCCAAACATGAGCGTTTTTATAGATAAAAGATTTCTTTATTTGACCGAAAACAGAGTTAGCTTTAGATGATATTATTTCATTGTGAGTATCCCATTTGAGCTTGTGTGAAATGTAAATGCCAAGATCTCTTTCTTTGTAAGAGGAGTCAAGAAGCTGCATCCCTTGCTGAGTCAAGATATAGTATTGCTGATAAGAATTTTTACTTTTGTTAAAACGTACGAATAGGCACTTTTTGTAGATAAGACGTAAGCGTCAGGCTAGAGTCCCAGACGTGATGTGATTTATATCCTTCTGGAGCAAAGCTGGGCTCTCAGTGGAAAGAACGTTGCAGTCGTCGGCGTATAACTTCTTTAGATTGTTATTTATAATGTTAGCGTATTCTACAAATATAGCTGTCAATGTTCTTAAAGCTGTCATTGTTCTTAAATAGAGCAATAATAGCAATAATAATAATATATATATATATATATATATATATATATATATATATATATATATATATATATATATATATATATATATATATATATATATATATATATATATATATATATATATATATATATATATATATATATATATATATATACACTTATATATATTTAAAATATAACTTAATACAAATATCTTATAATATAAGTTTTATATAAAAAAAGTAGAAGCTCCGTCAAGATTAACAATTCAATAATTTTTGGTTTTAAACTATCGATCCTAATACAGTAGGCTATTTTAAATTTTAGTATATATATAGTAAAATTAGTAAACATTATTTTACATTTCATAATTTATTTTAATTTCATTAAAGGTAATGCGTAAACACGTTATGGTGCGAATTGGAGGAGGATGGGATACATTTGATCATTACATTGTAAAACATGACCCTTGCAGAACAACCATAACAGGTTGTTTAATATTTTATTTTCTTCTCAGTTTTGGCATAAAAAACATAATCTTTTCACAAATAAAATCTTGCACATTCTTTAAGACTACTATTCTTATGCAAAGAAATACTTGTATATATTTAATTTTGGTATTTGTTATAATAGGAAACACAGAAAATTGCAATCCTCAAACAGCATCGAATAAAGTTAAAACTTTAGCGCAGAAAAAAGTTGAAACGCTAACAAATGAAAAAATAAAAAGCCACGCCTCATCGGATACACAGAGTATGTGCTCCGAAAGTACAAACAGTTCAGGAAGTCTAGACGATTGCCATCCTACTGTAAGAAGATTACTGCTTAACTTTTTTGTGTTTTCTATATAGGCTTAAATTTTAGATAAGCTTTTAAATAAACTTCATTTATCAATGAATAGTTATTTAAAAAATTTTAATACTAGTAAATATAATATATATATATATATATTTATATATATATATATATATATATATATATATATATATATATATATATATATATATATATATATATATATATATATATATATACATATATATGTATATATATATATATATATATATATATATATATATATATATATATATATATATATATATATATATATATATATAAATATAAATATACATATATATTATATTATATATATATATATATATATATATATATATATATATATATATATATATATATATATATATATATATACATATATATATATATATATATATATATATATATATATATATATATATATATATATGTATATATATATAGATATAGATATGTCATAACATATGTATACTAATACTT